AAGTGTGGATCCGAAAAACGTTTAATTGCGTGTTACATTCGTTTCAGTTTCTTGGGGGATCTACGTCAGCTGAGAACCAGGGTTTGTAAAGTGTGGCGCGAAAAATCGTTTAATTGCGTCTTACTTTCGTTTCAATTTCTTGGGGCGTCTATCTCAGCTGAAAATCAGGGTTTGTATGGTGTGGCGCGTAATATGTTTCAATCGCGTCTGACTTGGGTTTTCAATGCTTTGGGGCCTCTATCTCAGCTGAAAACCAGGGTTTGTATAGTGTGGAGCCGAAAAGCGCTTAATTACGTCTTACTTCACTGCAAATTCGTTGGGGCCTCTATCTCAGCGGCAAACCCGCCAGGGTTTGTATAGTGTGGCGCGTAATTGCCTTTTACTTTCTTTTCAATTTCTTGGGGCAACTGTCTCAACTGAAAACCAAGCTTTATATAGTGTGGCGCCGGAAAGCGTTTAATTGCGTGTGGCTTTCGTTTCAGTTTCTTGGGACCTCTGTCTCAGCTGAAAACCAGGGTTTGTTTAGTGTGAGACCGAAAAGTTTTTAACTGCATCTTACTTTCGTTTCAATTTCTTGGGACGTCTATCTCAGCTGAAAACCAAGGTTTGTAAAGTGTGGAGCCGAAAAGCGACGAATTACGTCTTACTTTTGTTTGTGTTTCTTGGGGCGTATCTTTCGGCTTCAAGCCAATGCTTGTAAAGTGTGGCGCGTAAAATCGTTTGATTGCGTCTTACTTTCGTTTAATATCTCGAGGCCTCTATCTCAGCTCTAGCCGAGGTCTTGCATAGTGTGGAGCCGAAAACCAGGGTTTGCACAGTGGAGAGCCAAAAAGCACCTAATTTTGTCTCGCTTTCGTTTCGATATCTTGAGGCGTCTATCTCAGCTGAAAACCAGGTTTGTAAATTGTGGCGCGGAAAATCATTTAATTGCGTCTTACTTTCGTTTCAATGTTTTGGAGCGTCTTTCTCAGCTGACGCCTAAAAGCGTTTTAATTGCGTGTTGTTCTCGTTTCAATTTCTTGGGGCCTCTATGTCAGCTCTGACTTAAATTTGTATAGTGTGGAGCCTGACAACATTTAATTGCGTCTTATTTTCGTTTCAATTTCTTGGGGACTCTTAGCTCTAACCGACTTATTTACTTGCTCAATTTCTTGGGATGTCCATCTGGGATGTAGGAAAATTCCACAATCTCATAATTATAGCACAACAAAACTAGCTTCCGCAAGCCTCAAGGCCTCAGGTCATCATCCAGAACAATTCCACAGTCTTATGGTTATGTGAAAACCCCACATTAGCTGCCGAACACCTGCAATTACATAAAAATGAAGAAGCCCTGGTACTATGGATGCTCCCCCGGCCGCCATGCTGCCCAGCAGCCGTGCTTATGTGTGGAACTTTTTGGAAATATGGTTTCTTTAGAAAGGCAAGTTACTTTATCTGCCAATACAGAATATTCAAGTAAATTGAACTTTTGGAACTCTTTGGAGATGGGGTTTCTTCACGGGGCTCCGAAATACACAAAACGAATTGTTAGATAGTTGCAGCTCACTTAAACCAATGATTCGAGAAAGCACCAAAAAAGATGCATTTACTTAAGCCTTGTTCTACCAATGCAGTGATTTACCGTTATTGTTGCTGCCAGTACCACCATTCTGCGCTGGCACATCAAGGCGAGGCCTTTTCAAACTTAGGGTTTAGGGTTTATTTAGCGGAAAGCATTAGGATTTTTTGTTTTAGTGGAAGGCATTAGGCCCCCTTGTGAGCCAGTACTTGCCTAGGTCCCCCGCTGCGCTAGCAAACCCACACTCTAAACCTTAAACCCTA